TCCAGATAAAATCTCCACAGTGTATCCCAAGGTTTTCTTTGGATCTTCAGAAGTATCAAATATATGATAACCCAGAGTAACATTGGGCAGAAGATTGAGGTCCTCGTTAATCTCTTTGACTGCAAATATCATCGCCAAGATGCTTCTGTACCCCTCAGTATGTGGGCTGTATGTAAAATATAAACATGATTCAATCTACACAGAATGTTAATTCATAAGGATACAACATCTACACAGAAAGGTAATTCCTAAGAATACAACATCTATACAAGTCTACACAGTTTAATCACACATGCATGAAACATGTTTTATTGAGAACAATGATGATTCTTAATTAGCTTCAAATTGAAAAGCTTAATCATTAATGGTGTAATCATTAATACATCATAGCGTCAAAGCCATCCAATCAAAACTAAAACACTGACAACATCCATTAGGATGCGTCATCAGTGACGAGCAAGTGAGGGACAGGGAGGCTCCTCCTCCCTGTCTCTTCTCTCCCTCCTGCTACACCCCATAGGCTGAGCAGTTTCCCCTTCTACCTCACAGGCTCGATGAACAGGCCTGGGGGTAGGGACGGGCCGAGTGGTGCTTCACCTGCCACTGACCCCACCGCATGTCCCTGTTGCCCAGTAGCAGTCAGACTAGTGTGATACCAATCTTTCCTCCATGACCTTCGCTCCCTTGCAAGATATGCTACGATTTAAATACCTGGAGGTCTATGGCCTTTACATGGTTTGGTAGGATGGCACAACTGAAGATAAATGTTCTCCCTAGAGGATTCTGACATTTTTCTTCAAGAAGCATTAGGCAGTGTTCTCCAGTTTTCTATAGGGTGGCAGATGTCCTTGCTTATCCTGGGTTTTCCTGAAATCTCTATAGATGTGTGGGGGCCTTGAGATTCCAGACATGTTCAATTATTAAGTAGTTATGTAGCCTGACCTGACTTCGCCAGGCACCACTCTGTGATCAGTTCTACTTTAGGGGTTATTCTGAAGACTATGTTGCCACAATAAGATCAAAACCGCAAATAGACCGGATGCCCCTGGGGGGAATAGTGACTTCCTCCTGTGCAACTCGAGTTTATTTTTGACACACTGGGACCCTGACTGACTCATGAAATTTTTTTAGCACCTGAGGTTCTTACCTAGATCTTGTCTTATTCAATTCATGGTGTAATCCCCTGGTGGACCAACATTTAAGTTAGGCATTTGCTGTTAGACCCGAAAAAGTGCCATGCTTCTCCAGATTACCCCCCCTTTTAAAGAAACTTGCCTGGGAGACAGTCCATTCAGACATTTGATTTTTTAGGTGTACTCTCTCCTGCGAGAGAGCAACAGGGCTCTTCTACCCCCCTTACTCCATAAATGGGAAGATACACTAAACATCACCATCCTAGATGACTCTTGGAAGGTTATATGTATAGCCAAACATAAAAGCTCCATTAACAATAGAATGCAAAGACTATGTAGCCCTGTTTCGGGGGGGCTGATGGACCTGATGGGGAACTGCAAAAGAGGGCGGGTACAATGCTAGTTTACTATTGGCTATTGAAATTGAAACAGCCAATAGTAATGTCCCAATGCTTTTGAATGGGAATTTTTCTTTTTTTTTTTTTCTCTCTATTCTGACATCGCTCGTGTCAGAATAAAGAAAAAAGACACAGCGGGGTTTTTCTCCTTGGCGGCCGGGAGCAGGAGACTCCCGGGGTGCCAGGGAGAGTCAGCTATTTGGAGATCAGTGTCCCTGGTTAGCAACCAGGGACGCTGATCTCTCTGAAAGTGGCCGGAGCCAGCCATAAGATCACAGCTGGCTCCGCCCAGCTGTCAGAAGCAGGCTGTCGGCTTTCGGCTTTCAGCACGGCTCAGCCGAGCCGAGGCATATGCGATCGGCTCGACTGAGCCGCTCGGCCGTGATCGGGAGCTGTACGGGCTATTGTGAATAGCC